CCCCAAAACCCCAAAACCCCAAAACCCCAAAACCCCTCATTTTAATACGAGAGTTGAAACGTATCACTTGCTTATTTTATAAGAATTTAAGCCCATGCTTTGGACTCCAGCTGAATATGGGGATTATTCATCCAAATTAGTGTGGTTACAGGGCAGATAATACCTCTTTGAAGTGAAGATAGTTTTTTCAGAAGTTTTATTAATCCATACAGTTGTCCGTTTCATTTTTTATGAGTGGGAGTTAGAGACTAGAGGCTAAGTTCAAACCCTATACTCATCAGTACGGTCAAGGCAAACTGTTTGGCTTATCCAGATGCTCACTCAATTTTGCTCTTGAGCTATGATGAAATCACCAAGACCCTTATGTATTTTAATTTTCTAAAATAATTAATAATATTTTCGAAAAAAGAAATGGATAACAAAGTAGAAAATGATGCTGGAGCAAACCGTGCTCAGTATCCAAGGCTGACTCTTAGCCCTGAATCCATGTTCCCAGCTGAACAAGAGATATTATAATGCTTGAGAGCTCCTCAGATAGTGACATCAGCATGGATTATGAGCAAGAGCAGAGGTAAAGTTCAATATTTTCATAAAAATAATTTCTATTCACTACCATGGCACCGGTTTTGTTAATATTACCTGAAGACTCACTGCTTGTGATGTATCATGACTGGTTTTTATGAGTGCATAATCGCTGACCTTCCCCTTTTAGGACTGATTACAGAGACCTCTGAATCGATATCGATGAAGTTAACAGAGATATCTCCCAAGATAATACTAGCATTTGTGGGTGTAACTGTGGTGTCTTCAATATGTATGAAAATGGTAAGTTATGTGATACTTCTTGAGTTTCTGCCGCATTAATGCTCTGGTCTATTTATGAGCTCCAATTGGAGTTTATAACACATGTGAATAGCCTTACGCGGCTGCCATTTAGGCACTAGGGAGATTTTCACAACAATTGCATTTGTAAATTCTAATTTTGGCTTCAAATATCCGCACTCAGATTTTAGAATTCTTCATAAATTGTGAATAAACTAGTTTGGTGGAAGGCTAAGGCATCAAATTTAATAAGTTTCTTTGCCCAAGTATAAATTTGACAGATGCATCATAGCCTCAGAGAAGTCATGAGAGAAATGTAATGGATATAACTTTGAAGATCACAATCCTGTCTACTCAATATCCTCCCAGAAAGGAAGGAAGAGGACTCAAGAAGATAGAGTAAGCCACTTCTTGTCCATTCAAAGCCTTTCACACTTACTAATTTTATTTTAGTTTCTTGTTGATCAGAAATTTATGGGGGAGGGAAATCAGGCAGTTTTTGCGATATTCGATGGCCACTCTGGCTCGAGAGCTTCCCAGTACTGTAAAGATACCCTAGTGAGCAAGCTTACTGGAAATTATGAACAGTTGCATGAAAACACATCATCTACTATTCAAGAAGGTTTGGCCTCGTGTTTAATATTTTAGTACTGAAGGAGATCGATTCCGAGTTCCTCGATCTAGCTCAAAAGCAAAACCTTGAGGGTGGGTCAACATGAGTTCTTGGCATGATAATGAATACCAAGCTTACAGTCGCAAATATTGGAGATTCTTCAGCATTTTTGGTTAAGAATTCTAACGTTATTGAGTTAACTAGTGACCATAACTACTCTCGTTTGGATGAATACAGCAGAGTTACTTCCCAAAATCTGTAAGTTAGTTACTACGACCTTCGTTTAATAATAAGACAATCGGTTTTTACATTTTTATAGAGGAGAATTCCTGATCCTCAAGAATCGTCTGAATGGCCAGCTTGCACTTTCCAGATCGATAGGCGATCTGAAGTATAGGCCAGCAGTAACATCAGAGGCTGAGACCCAGACTATAACCCTCTCCTCTTTAGATCAATACCTCATCCTTACATCTGATGGAGTGTGGTCGAAGGTAGGGATAAATCAGTGCTGATCTTTAGAAATTCAGCAAGCGAGATGCTATAAACTACATCAACACATGAATCAAATTTGGCAGATCAAAGGAGGACATCTCCCAAGGCATCATCGATGAGGCCATTCGGAGTGGCTCTCAGGATAACATCACTGTGGTCATAGTGGACCTATCCCACTACTACAGCAGCTCAGTTTGATCAAGCTTCTCTCCGAACACTACAACTAGATCTTTGCCAGCGAAAGATAGCCAGGTTATGTTGCTGGACATGGACCAGAGGACCTCAGGGCGGAAATCTTATAATTTTTGAAAGGAAGAGATATCTCCTCTCCATGACCTCATTGTTGATAAGAAAGCACCTTCCTCCTTCTCTGAGAAGATTGGCTCAGCAGTTTCAGGTTGGGGAATCAGAAACGAATCATTTTGAAACCCATTTACAATAGTGAATTCGAATTCTGGTACTGGGGAGGGTCAACTTCACTCAAGTGTGTTTGGCGCCTCACCCACTCAGACTATGAGCATAGCTGGTTGTGATGTTGCTCGAGGCAGGAAATACCTGAGTCTGAAGGAGCAAGAAAGTTATTACCGCCAGTGCCAATTGTCAAAAAAGAACAAAGAGAAAAGGACTTTCGGATTTTAGATAAATGTCTGTTACACTTTTCAGCCAACTACTTTGCAAAGCAGCATAAAGCTAAAGAATAGGTACCACAGCCAGGCTAACAGCCTGGCTGCTTCTACTTATAAATCGTAAGGATAATCAGATTGCAATTTCTGTTGGCAAAAGAGAATAACTTATAACTTAATTTTCTATGCTTATCCCGTACTAAGGGGTTTTGGGGTTTTGGGGTTTTGGGGTTTTGGGG